TGATTTGGTTTAGTTGATATTCCACACTCCTAATGTCTTTAACTTCCAAGAATCTAATGAAACCAAACCTCCAGCCTTTTTGGTCTCATTTTTTTGCTATAAACTCTTGTATCACTCTCCCTATCTTGATGAACACCCTTCACATCTCTCCCATTTCCCAATCTTCTGGAAAGTTGGTGAAAAAGAATGGGATAGCTTTTTCCAGAACTCCCTTGCCATAACCGTAAGATGGACGCCGCTATCTTCTTGACCGTTCTTCTCGATCTGTCCTCCTAGGTCCCTGCACCTTACTTCTCGATGGGTTTTGGCAGAGTTAGGTTTCACAGGTTGGTCTCTCCCTCGCCGATTGACACTCTAGTTGGATTTGGTCCCTTCCCGATGGCCTCTTGCCAACAAGGAGAGGGACGAGGTTAAAGTTTGGGTTTCTTTCTAGTTTTCTCTCTCTATGACTCATTCTCCCTCATTTGTTAAGTAACATATATTAATTGTTCAATCAACTAACAAGTAAAACTATTGGGAGGGGGAGGAATTAGTTGGGTTAAGTGGGATAGTGTGTGCAAACCTAAGGAAAAAGGTGGATTAGGAGTTAGGGACCTCAGAACTTTCAATATAGCTCTATTAGGAAAGTGGTGGGGTAGGATGGCAGGAAAGGAAAAGGGCCTATGGAAAAGAGTGCTAAATACAAAATATGGGGTTAAAGAAGGAAGGTGGTTGGAATGGGTGAGGGGTGAGATTAAGGGGGGCTCATACTGGTGGAGGGACTTATGTAGAATAAATTCTATTTTACCAAATAGAGAGAATTGGTTAGGAGCGGGCTTCAACATTAATTTAGGGGATGAAGGGGGTATTAGATTTTGGAAAGATGTATGGTTAGGAGAGGTGAACTTAGCTACCTGTTTCCCTAGACTTTTTCTCTTGTCTACAAGAAAAGATAACAAAATCCAGCAGATGGGGGAGTGGCATAACAACATGTGGCAATGGAAGTTGACATGGAGACGAAGTATGCGCGGGTGGGAAGAAGAAAAGTTACAAGAGCTCTCTAACTTGATGCTTAATGTCACGTTAGACAGGGGGCAACAGCATGCATGGTGTTGGAGGCATACCAAGGACGGAATTTACACAGCAAAGTTGGGATACTTGTGGCTAAGAGACCAATAAGGAGGGGATGATACAAAATTATTCAAAAAAGTGTGGAACAAATACATTCCAAACAAGGTATGTGCTTTTAATTGGATGACACTACTGAATAGAATACCAACTAAAACAAACTTGCGGACAAAGGGAATTTTAAAGGATGATACAACAGCCTTGTGTGGCTTCTACAGGGCGGCACTGGAAGATACCAAGCACTTGTTCTTGGAATGCCCCTTTGTAGTAAAATTCTGGTGGAAATGTCAAGAATGATGGGAACTGAGCTGCATGAGTTATAATAAGTGCAAGAAGGCTTTTGTTCAGCATGTCTTTTATTCAAAAAACAAATGGGTTAGGCAAGGCTGGGAAACCATTTGGTTTGGCCTCACATGGACCATATGGTTAGTAAGAAATAAACAAATGTTTAGAAAAATAGAAAGCTCTATCAAAATGTTGTTTAACCTTGTATAGATTCGAACATTCTTTTGGATCAGTGGAAAGGTGGCTGGATCGCTGTTTTTTAGTGCAGATTGGATACAAAGCCCAATGTTGTGCTTGAAGTCAATACAAGGTGGGTTGAAGAGGAAGTGACTGTTGAAACTTCTTCATTTCATTTTGGACAACACGATTCTTAGATGGATTGAATCCTTTTCGAATGTCAATTAGATCCCTTTATGACTACATTATGC